GTCAAGATGCACTAGTGTTCATCTATGTGTACTAAAAGATGCATTTGTTAATTTCAAACTTTAATTTTTATTGGAAAAAGTAATTGAGTATAGACGGTAATTTGTGATTGCTTGTAGGTGGCTATCGTGTATGGGAAGTCATTGAGTATATGTGTTTAATGCTGAAAGATGGTCATTGTATAAAATTAGACATAGTAGGTCTCATGAATTTCAATATGTCACACTAAAGCTGTCAAACGAGCAACTTCCGTTAATAACTAAATTGCACTGATTGACTTAAAATATATCCGAATTATCATTGTAAGTGTAACTAAGTGTCTTGTCTACTAAACCAGTGGCAAACTCCAGCTAGCCAGCAAACTATAAAGTATCATTGCAAAACTTAGATTCTCTAGTTTTTCAAACCTAGTGTTACCAGACTTGAAGGTGTCAGGCAACATGTTTTTAGGGCGTTTCAATTGTAACCGTGCCATTTTGGAAATTGCACTATTGCTTCATATAAATATTGATGGATCTTCACCCTGAATATATATTTTATTGTCATGCTCCTAGCACATGTATAAAACAAGGTCAAGGTCAAGAGGTCAAGGTCACATTATATGGGCTTTATAGCTATTCTTGCTCGAAATTCAATGTTTTATCTCGCATCTTTCTTAACTGCTGAGTGCATTATCAGTACAGTACCATGCATGTGGCATCACAAGAAACCTCATAGAATGTACTTTCTGAAATATGCAGTACATGACAGGAAACATGCCATTTTTGGTTATTTCCATGGTTACTATGCATTTTCAGTTGCGGCACAGATATCCACTATAGCATGCCATTTGCTTACTAAATGTCGCTTTTCGAGGATGTTTACGAGTAGTCATGTGGATAAACATCTTCAAGGTCAAAAGTCAAGGTTATATTCATCAGTTAATCTGGACTACAATTTAATAGTTTATGTAATTCATATTCAAAACAAGGTATTGTCTTTTTCTTGCTCATGTCTTATATGATACAGAATTATGTACTTCTGTATAAACAAAGCAAGAGGTCTGTATAGTTTTTCTTTGTATAGTCTCCCTGACATAAATTGATGATTTTATGTCCACGTTTGATTAATAGGTTTTCCGTCTTTAGCTAGAGATTTTCATCGGGATTTTCAGAGACGGATTTTCATTGATTGAAGTATCGTATGTACATAAATGTGTCATGTAAGTAATCAGAAACAATCTGACAATCTATGAAATTATATATTTTTTATTATGTTTTCCAATGTAATCAAGAGAATCAAGTCAGAAATACAGATAAATACTGTCTGCGTTGTGCGTCAGTCATGGCGTCATGCAGGATGGAAACTTTTTCAATTTCTGTTGAATATACCAAATCATTGTAATGTTTCTTTTTTTAGTTCCCTAGTTCTTGCAACGAATCTCTTTTCATACATATTCTAAAACACGTGAGCCATTGTATGCAACAAATAGACGAATGAAAAATAGACAGTGTAAAATTTGAATTTAAATTTCAAACAAGTGCAGTTTTCCGAGCACAGCGTTTGTTTCCACACCCAATTTATTTTGTTTGATTTCATCTAAAGAATTTGTATTGGTGACAAAGACCATTGTCATTTGATTCTTAAATGTATGAGGAATTCAATGATGTGTGTATCGCAGTTTGAAATGTACGTGATCTAATAAGCGTCTCATAACCGGCATACGCGAAACGTGACTTTGTAAACACTATCCAATATGGCGGAAAGTTCACTTCGGCATTAGTGTTTGCGTTTTTTTCTGAAACATTCTGAACGATTCTAGGGCTATCTGCGACGTTTCAGAATGACCATTGGTGATTTGTTACATTACAGATACCAGTGATCACTAATATCCTATTTTTTGTTCTCCGAGTAAATATCTGGTAGTTTGATTTCAAAACATACACGAAATAACACCGTGAATGGTGATTCAGTATTATGTCCATAACGGCGAGATTTACGATGTACCTAATTTTCAGAGGTCGTTTTCAGTATGTTTTCTATGTTTATAATGACAGCGGATGGTATCACAGAACACACTGTGAAGTGTATATATTTACGTGATGTATTTTGAATTTTATTTGACTTCAAAGTTAAGGGTGATTGTAAGGGGAGAAAATGGTGTCTTCCCCAAAGTTTACGAAGAGTAGTACAGAATGTAATGTCACAGGACTGTATAGCGTCAGACACCGCGAGGCCTTGGAAGATTTTCCCCTTGAACCATTTGCCGCCAGCTGGTCCTAGATGACTATATCCCAAAAGAACGCGAAGCAGTTCATTTCAAGCCCAATGCAACAATGAATAAAAAGATCGCGTGAATGTTGGTGGTTCTGTCAACAAAGCGAAAGGCGGGAGGCTGTAAAGATGGAAGAAAGCGAAACTATCTATGCTTTCTATTTACACTGGAAGCAGACACGCGCATTGACAACGTGGTAACATGTTTACATATATTGTGTGATACGTTTTACGTACATACATGTCTTTGAATAAGAAATTACGTATATTTGACTTTCTGATGTTGTTGATATAAGTAGAGGGCAGACTATAACATTTTTCCCAGCCTCCTAGGTTTCTAGAAACTAAAGAATGATGATGGTGGCCACTCGAATTTAGCCCTATAGAAATTGACAATTATTCACAATATATGATTACAATATAATCGTCGCCTTGAAGTATCTGCATAACTTTCCATGCATATGTAATATACCTTAGATCTGTGAACACACCAATATCTGCCCAAATTGCGAAATCTGCCATAGACCTAAGAGACTATGGATCTAATTCTTACATTTATAGCTTTGATGGTCATGGGATCTGCTTATACTCCAGCTGTCAGGGTAGAGCATATACAACAGCTATGTGGGTAACGGTTATACAACAGTTATGTGGGTAACGGTTATACAACAGCTATGTGGGTAACGGTTATACAACAGCTATGTGGGTAACGGTTATACAATAGCTATGTGGGTAACGGTTATACAACAGCTATGTGGGTAACGGTTATACAACAGCTATGTGGGTAACGGTTATACAAAAGCTATGTGGGTAACGATTATACTCCAGCTATGAGAGAAAAGGCTATGCTCCAGGTTTGATGGTCATAGGATCTGCTAATACTCCAGCTTTCTACTCAATTCATAAGTGTAAACGCAATATTCTAAGAGGACCAAGGTTTTATTTTAGGTTTGAGGGTAAAGGCTATTCTCCAGCGATGAGGGTGAAGGCTATTCTCCAGCTTTGAGAGTAACGCCCGTACTTTGAGGGAAACGCTTATACTCCAACTTTAAAGGGCGAATAAATCTGATTATACTCCAAATTTGAGTGTAAAGGGATCCATTTCCACCCCAGGTTTGATATTAAAGTGATCCGATTATACTCTAGCTTTGACCGAAAAGTGATCTGCTTATGTTCCAGCCTTGAACGTAACGGTTCTGAGTAGAAGTTATGCTTCGGAGTAGAGTTGTGAAGATCACATTTAACTAAACTCAACCCTACTGTCTCCATGTTTCTCATGTAGGAGAAATGTTTTGGACTTTGTCAAACACTTTTCGCATCATGCCGTACCAGATACATGCAATGTCTATTCATCCTACAGTAATTCATATCGCAGTTTTTTTCTGAATCGTTGTGTCTATGTGCATTTCCCGATATTTAGAGCAAGTTACTCGATGAAAGTATAAAATGTTTGTTTGATAAAAGCACACCACTGCCGCCACACTTGACAACCTTAATGCGTTGTCAATAAATCCTCGCGGCTGGAGCTTTATTGTTTCGGTTAGATATTCTTTGGACCTTATGGTTGTGACATATGAAAAAGGTATTCGATTTCGTGCTACCCCATTGACATCTGATATACAATAAACTTAAAAACGGATTTGTAAATGGAAACATATATGGCTTTATTTAAAATACGTTACATTGTCAGAGAGTACAATGTCAAAAAATGTTCAAACAAGACTCTGCAGCAAACAAACTTGGATGATTAGCTGACTTGAGCAAAGGACAAGGTTGTCTCCTGACCTTAATCTATATCCAAGGTCGCATACTGAAAGTATAAGAGGCAGCTGCGCATTGGCTGACACGTGGTATGAAGTCACAGGGTCAAGGTCATTGCCTAGAACTCTGAAATAGATAATGTATTCCAGTTTTGAGCGATTGTCCAAGCAATGATTAGTAATGTTTCAAAATAATTACTAACCAGATTTATTTTGGATTTGGAAGCACCCTACTCCAAGTTTTGCTGCTGCCGAGTCAGTTTGCTTATTTGACACTGTCCTTCATTCTAGTTCCACAGCGCTTTTGAAAAGAACCCAAGTTTACTTTTGGTGAGATAATGTGGTGCCCATGATTCTAATTTGACATCATCATGGCGACTTGATCGTATTTCCAAATAGTATGACCTTATTTCGAGTGCCAGCTGTAGTCAATAGTCAATACACAAACTGAAAGGCAATCAACAAAACACTGAAGTGTACAACGGATACTATGTACAGGGTGGCAGGTTCACAACGAGGAATGTGCCAGGAGATATTCACCTTCTTATTTCTAATTCAATGTTAGATCGATTCTAATCTGTAATGATTCATTCCTCAGCTCTAATGTAGATAACCGTTATCGAAAAAGCAGATGCTCTGCTTGCCTAAGATGAAAACGATATCTTCATTTCTAAACTGAAACTAGTATTGCATGCACATCTCTATGGTGAACCATTGAACACATGTATACATGTACAGTAAAAAGTGAATATTTGTGTACATTTAAATAATTCAAAAGGCATGTAATGATATTGTAATCTAAATTTGCTGTTAGAGATTATACACGTACTCATGGTGAAAACTCAATACTATACGGATTCATTGCAACCACGAATGTCAGCAGTGGGTCGAGACATCGTCACAATGCCTGATTATTAGGACTGCATGCAGGGAAATCTAGTAAGGTTGATAATAAAGGTCGAGTTGGGTGACGAATTCAGACAACCTACCTTTCGATCAGATGATTCCTGTCTATTGCCTGCATATTTAAGCTCTTGTTTCAAATCCATTATCTGAAAACAACACATACATTCATTATCACGTATATCTCGCCTAATAAAAAGACTATATTTGACTCTACAAACCGTTACTTGTGTGCTCCACCCGACTTATTGTATATCCATGTGTTACCTTTATAGAGTTGTACTTTCGTTAGGATGATCATATAGATTTTATTACAGCAAGATACATTTCGAAACACATAGTTAGGAATACAAACGATATTTTACGTAGGCGAATGTACAAATTACTTTAAATTTTGCACATTATCTCTATGTTGAGTTGAAAGAAAAACGTTGCTGGTATGACAGTAGCATATGAAAACAACTTTTGTAGCTGATGATTCAATCATAGACTTTTCTCTCAAAGTGCCCAGGTTTTTCCGCGTTAAGATGCGAATTGTATTAAACTCTTTAACAATAGTGTAAACACTAACAAGCACCAATTTAGAAACAAGTGCATTCCTCGGAAAATATAGCTTCATACCATCAAACTTGGTTTCGTGTTAGCGAGGGGAGCCCGAGAAACGATCGACCGTGTCAATCAGTTGGCTATAAGATATTATGCGAGAGAGCAGGTAGTTTATATGTTAAGAAATTGATATCACCCTTAAGCAACATCAATAACGGCCAAAGACATGGGGTTTGCATGGGTTAAGATAAGAAAGACATTTCTAAATACTGTTCACTTGGTCAAAGGCAAGCTGGTCACATCTGCAAAATTATTTCTAGGTTGTTCTGCTTGCACATAATGTTTTTTTATTAGTGATATCACAGTTTTTGTTGTTAATGTGTCACTGCTCGGTTGTTTGTAATGTGTCATTGTAAGGTTGTTTCAAATGCATCACTGCGTGTTGTTTAATAATGTGTCGCTGTGTGTTCTTTATAATGTCTTACTGTGGTTGATTCTAACGTCTCTCTGTGTCTTGTTTCTAATGTGTCACTGTGTGTTGTTTATAATGTGTCACTGTGTGTTGTTTATAATGTGTCACTGTGTGTTGTTTCTAATGTGTCATTGTGTGTTGTTTCTCATGTGTCACTGTGTGTTGTTTATAATGTCTTACTGTGGTTGTTTGTAACGTCTCAATGTGTGTTGTTTAGTAATGCGTCACTGTGTTTTGTTTAGTAATGTGTCACGGTGTGTTGTTTCTAATGTGTCACTGTGTGTTGTTTAGTAATGTGTCACTGTCTGTTGTTTCTAATGTGTCACTTTGTATGGTTTAGTAATGTCACTGGGTGTTGTTAATAACGTGTCACTGTCTGGTTGTTTGACATGTCTAACTGTGGTTGTTTATAATCTGTCACCGTGTGTTGTTTAGTAATGTATCACTGTGTGTTGTTTATAATATCTTATTGAGATAGTTAGTAACGTGTCTCCGTGTGTTGTTTAGTAATGTATCACTGTGTGTTGTTTATAAGGTCTTACTGTGGATGTTTCTTACGTCTCTGTGTGTGTTGTTTCTAATGTATAACTGTGTGTTGTTTCTAATGTATCACTGTGTGTTGTTTCTCATGTGTTACTGTGTGTTGTTTGATAATGTCACTGAGTGTTGTTAGTAACGTGTCACTGTGTTGTTGTTGGTAATGTCTTACTGTGGTTGTCTGTCACATCACAATGTGTGTTGTTTAGTAATGTGTCACTGAGTGTTGTTAGTCATGTGTCACCGTGTTTTGTATAGTAATGTGCCAATGTGTGCTGTTTAGTAATGTGTCACTGTGTGTTGTTTCTAATGTGTTACTGTGTGTTGTTTGGTAATGTCTCTGAGTGTTGTTAGTAATGTGTCACTGTGTGGTTGTTTGAAATGTCTAATTGTGGTTGTTTATAATCTGTCACCGTGTGCTGTTTAGTAATGTGTCACTGTGTGTTGTTTCTATTGGGTTACTGTGTGTTGTTTGATAATGTCTCGGAGTGTTGTTAGTAACGTGTCACTGTGTGGTTGTAAGTAATGTCTTACTGTGGTTGTCTGTAAAGTCTCAATGTGTGTTGTTTCGTAATGTGCCAATGTGTGTTGTTTCTAATGTGTCACTGTGTGCTGTTAAGTAATGTGTCACTGTGTTGTTTCTAATGTGTCACTGAGTGTTGTTTCTACTGTGTCACTGTGTGTCGTTTAGTAATGTCACTAAGTGTTGTTAGTAACGTGTCACTGTGTGGTTGTTAGTAATGTGTGATTGTGTGTTGTTTATAATCTGTCAGCGTGTGTTGTTTAGTAATGTATAACTGTGTGTTGTTTCTAATGTGTCACTGTGTGTTGTTTCTAATGTGTTCCTGTGTGTTGTTTGGTAATGTCACTGAGTGTTGTTAGTAACGTGTCACTGTGTGGTTGTTAGTAATTTCTTACTATGGTTGTCTGTAACGTCTCAATGTGTGCTGTTTAGTAATGTGTCACTGTGTGTTGTTAGTCATGTGTCACCGTGTTTTGTTTACTAATGTGCCAATGTGTTTTGTTTCAAATGTGTCACTGTGTGTTGTTAGGTAATGTGTCACTGTGTGTTGTTTCTAATGTGTCACTGAGTGTTGTTTCTACTGTGTCACTGTGCGTCGTTTAGTAATGTCACCAAGTGCTGTTAGTAACGTGTCACTGTGTGGTTGTTAGTAATGTCTTACTATGGTTGTTAGTAACGTCTCAATGTGTGTTGTTTAGTAATGCGTCACTGTGTGCTGTTTAGTAATGTGTCACTGTGTGTTGTTTCTAATGTGTCACTTCGTGTTGTTTGGTAATAGCACCGAGTGTTGTTAGTAACGTGTCACTGTGTGGTTGTTAGTAATGTCTGACTGTGGTTGTTAGTAACGTCTCAATGTGTGTTGTTTAGTAATGCGTCACTGTGTGTTGTTTAGTAATGTGTCACTGTGTGTTGTTTCTAATGTGTCACTGTGTGTTGTTTAGTAATGTCATTGGGCGTTGTTAGTAACGTGTCACTGTGTGTTATTTCTAATGTGTTACTATGTGTTGTTTGGTAATAGCACTGAGTGTTGTTAGTAACGTGTCACTGTGTGGTTGTTAGTAATGTCTGACTGTGGTTGTTAGTAACGTCTCAATGTGTGTTGTTTAGTAATGTCATTGGGTGTTGTTAGTAACGTGTCACTGTGTGGTTGTTTGTAATGTCTAACTGTGGTTGTTTATAATCTGCCACCATGTGTTGTTTAGTAATGTGTAACTGTGTGTTGTTGAGTAATGTGTCACTATGGGTTGTGATAAATGTGTCCCTGTGTGTTTTTTGTAATGTCTGACTGTGGTTGTTTATAATCTGTCACCGTACATTGTTTCTAATGTGTCACTGAGTGTTGTTAGTAATGTGTCACTGTGTGGTTGTTTGTAATGTGTGATGATGTGTTGTTTATAATCTGTCACAGTGTGTTGTTTAGTAATGTATCACTGTGTGTTGTTTGTAATGTCTGATTGTGGTTGTTTATAATCTGTCACCGTACATTGTTTCTAATGTGTCACTGAGTGTTGTTAGTAATGTGTCACTGTGTGGTTGTTTGTAAAGGGTGATGATGTGTTGTTTATAATCTGTCACCGTGTGTTGTTTAGTAATGTGTCACTGTGTGTTGTTTATAATGTCTTACTGTGGTTGTTTGTAACGTCTCAATGTGTGTTGTTTAGTAATGCGTCACTGTGTTTTGTTTAGTTATGTGTCACGATGTGTTGTTTCTAATGTGTCACATTGTGTTGTTTAGTAATGTATCACTGTGTGTTGTTTGTAATGTCTGATTGTGGTTGTTTATAATCTGTCACCGTACATTGTTTCTAATGTGTCACTGAGTGTTGTTAGTAATGTGTCACTGTGTGGTTGTTTGTAAAGTGTGATGATGTGTTGTTTATAATCTGTCACCGTGTGTTGTTTAGTAATGTGTCACTGTGTGTTGTTTGTAATGTCTGATTGTGGTTGTTTATAATCTGTCACCGTACATTGTTTCTAATGTGTCACTGAGTGCTGTTAGTAATGTGTCACTGTGTGGTTGTTTGTAAAGTGTGATGATGTGTTGTTTATAATCTGTCACTGTGTGTTGTTTAGTAACGTGTCACTGTGTTTTGTTTATGTCTTATTGTGGTTGTTTGTAACGTCTCAATGTGTGTTGTTTAGTAATGCGTCACTGTGTTTTGTTTAGTTATGTGTCACGATGTGTTGTTTCTAATGTGTCACATTGTGTTGTTTAGTAATGTATCACTGTGTGTTGTTTGTAATGTCTGATTGTGGTTGTTTATAATCTGTCACCGTACATTGTTTCTAATGTGTCACTGAGTGTTGTTAGTAATGTGTCACTGTGTGGTTGTTTGTAAAGTGTGATGATGTGTTGTTTATAATCTGTCACCGTGTGTTGTTTAGTAATGTGTCACTGTGTGTTGTTTGTAATGTCTGATTGTGGTTGTTTATAATCTGTCACCGTACATTGTTTCTAATGTGTCACTGAGTGCTGTTAGTAATGTGTCACTGTGTGGTTGTTTGTAAAGTGTGATGATGTGTTGTTTATAATCTGTCACTGTGTGTTGTTTAGTAACGTGTCACTGTGTTTTGTTTATGTCTTATTGTGGTTGTTTGTAACGTCTCAATGTGTGTTGTTTAGTAATGCGTCACTGTGTTTTGTTTAGTTATGTGTCACGATGTGTTGTTTCTAATGTGTCACAGTGTGTTGTTTAGTAATGTGTCACTGTGTGGATGTTTGTAATGTGTGATTGTGTGTTGTTTATAATCTGTCATCGTGTGTTGTTTAGTAATGTATCACTGTGTGTTGTTTATAATGTCTAACTGTGGTTGTTTCTAACGTCTCTCTGTGTGTTGTTTCTACTGTGTCACTGTGTGTTGTTTCTAATGTGTTACTGTGTGTTGTTTGGTAATGTCACTGAGTGTTGTTAGTAACGTGTCACTGTGTGTTTGTTAGTAATTTCTTACTATGGTTGTCTGTAACGTCTCAATGTGTGTTGTTAGTCATGTGTCACCATGTTTTGTTAACTAATGTGCCAATGTGGGTTGTTTCAAATGTGTCACTGTGTGCTGTTTAGTAATGTATCACTGTGTGTTGTTTAGTAATTTGTCACTGTGTGTTTTGTTTTAATATGTCACTGTGTGTTGTTTCTGATGTGTCACTGTGTGGTTGTGTATAATACTGTGTATTGTTTAGTAATGTGTCACTGCTTGGTTCTTTAAAATGTGTGACGGTGTGTTGTTTCTAATGTGTGACTGTGTGGTTGTGGTCACTGCATTGTTGTTTAGAAATGTGTGAATGTGTGTTGTTCATAATGTCAAAGTGTTGATGTTTCTAATGTTTGTTGTTTGTAATGTGTCAAAGTGTGGATGTTTCTAGTGTGTCATTGTGTGTTTTTTAGTAATGTGTCACTTTGAGGTTGTTTATAATGTGCCACTGTATAGTTATTTCTAATGGGCCACTGCCTGCTTGTTTAGTAATGTGTCAGTTTGTGTCGCTTAGTACTGTGTCACTGTGTCGCTTTTAATATGTCACTGTTTTCGGTTTCTAATGTGTCACTGTGTGGTTGTTTCTAATGTGTTGCTGTGTGTTGTTTAGAAATGTGTCACTGAATGGTTGCTAGTAATGTGTCAGTGTGTTATTTGTTACAGTGTGTCAGTGTGTGTTGTTAATAATGTGTCACTGTGTGGTGGTTTCTAATGTGTCACTGTTTGTTATGTAGAAATGTATCACTTCTTTTTAGTAATGTGTCACTGAGTGTTGTTTATAATGTGTCACTGTGTTTTTAGTAATGTGTTGCTTTGTGTTGTTTTAGTAATATTTCACTGTGTGATGTTTATCATATGTCAGGGTGTTGTTTCTAAATGTGTCACTGTGATGTTTATAATGTGTCACTGTATGGTTCTTTAGTAATGTGTCACTGTGTGTTGTTTATTAATGTGTCACTGTGTGTTATTTATATAATGTGTCACTGTGTGTTGTTTCTAATGTGTCACTGAATGGTTTTCTGCAACGTGTCACTGTGTGGTTGTTTCTAACGTGTCACTGTGTGTTGTTTAGTAATGTGTCACTGTATGTTTTTTCTAATGTGTCACTGTGTGGTAGTTGATAATGTGACACTGTGTGTTGTTTCTGATGTGTCTCTGAGTGTTCTTTATAATGTGTGACGGTGTGTTGTTTCTGATGTGTGACTGTGTGGTTGTTTCTAGTATGTCACTATGTGTTGTTTCTCACGTGTCACTTTGTGTTGTTTATAATGTGTCACTGCATTGTTGTTTAGAAATGTGTCACTGTGTGTAATTCATAATGTGTCAATGTGTGGATGTTTATAATGTGTCAGTGATTTTTTTGGGGGTAAAGTATCTCTGTGTGTTGTTTCTTATGTGTCCCTTGGTGTAGTTTAATAATGTATCACTGTGTGTTGTTTCTAATGTGTCCCTTGGTGTTGTTTAGTAATGTATCACTGTGTGTTGTTTCTTATGTGTCCATTGGTGTAGTTTAATAATGTATCACTGTGTGTTGTTTCTAATGTGTCCCTGTGTGTTGTTTCTAATGTGTCACTGTGTGGTTGTTTCCAATGTATCACTGTGTGTTGTTTCTGATGTGTCACGGTGTGTTGTATATAATGTGTTACTGTGTGATTGTTTGAAATGTCTCATGTATTGCTTTTAGTAATGTGTAACTGTGTGGCTATTTGTAATTTGTATCTGTCTTTTTATTTGGAATGTCTCACTGTGTTGTTTGTAATGCCTCACTGTGTTGTTTGTAATGTAATGTTTGTCATGTTTCACTGTGTCTGTGTTAGTAATATGTTACTATGTGGTTAGTCTTTGATTATTATGAATATATACTTGGATGCCTTATTTAGGTAACAGTAATATATATACACTAACAGTTTACGGAATAAAATACAGATGTAACGTTATTTTAACGTTATTTTATCAACTTCACAATCACAATCACATCACGTGTGTGTATGTCATTTACTGTATAAACCTTCCTCTCACCCATCTCCTCACGTGACTTATTGTGCGTTAACCTTCTTTACAGTTCATCAAAAGTTTACGTTGTACATCACCCGTCTCATCATTTTCCCTCTGACAACACTTTCCATTGTGTACTTTAACCTTCCTCGTCAATCACGTGTGTATTCTCCTTCAGCCTGTCTCCGAAAGCAGAAACATTACAACACTGTAAGCTGGCACTAGGCCAATAAAGCTCCTCAATATTCGCGAGTTATTTATCCCGATACTGTGCCTACCACGTCTTTACTTAAACAAGGTGCTATGTAGGTATCTGTTGTCATAGAAACCGTGTTATCATTGCCACCAACGTAAGATGTGCTAGAAGAGAAATGCAGCAGCAGTAAAATTCCTTTAGATCGCCTCGCCACGATGTAGACATTCTATAGGCTTTACACCTCCCTCAACCAGTCACACAATAGCTACAGATTTGGACAATCACCTTACTTCTGTGTCGGTCATTTATTTCCAAATATTATTTTCCCAACCGTCAAACAGCCCCACGATCTTATTGTTGAAGTAGTAAAAAAACTGCAGTGTCCCTCGCACTGCCCAACCGCTGTATGAATATTATTGGCTTTCCTTTACTTTACCAACCTAATTGTCATATTACCAAAACTCATTTTACATTCAATTGTCATCTCATCATGTTGTTGAGTAAGTACTACATTTAGTGGGAAGCAACAATAACTCAATCGCTTTCATATTTGGATTCAAGCCTTCGCTGAATTCGAACACAAATGTAGGATATCTTCATATATGCAAACATATACAAGACCTCCATTAGCAATCCTGTCAGTATCAAGTACACATAGAAATTCATCATGTGTACATGCAATACACACACACACACACACACACACACACGCGCATGCGTCTTACGATAAAGACCATTTAATATTCGGGGGGGGGGGGGGGGGGGGGGCGAATGGTAGTTTAAACAAAAAACGAATATATAGTCCCAGTCTATGTCACATGGTAATTAAACATTCACATCACGTACTTGATCTTAGTTTCAGGCGAATTTTATGGTAGTTTATACAAAAACGAATATATAGTCCCAGGCTATGTCACATGGTAGTTAAAAATTCACGTCACGTACATGACCTTAGTCTCGGTCGAATTGTAGTTTAAACAAACACGCTCGACTGTATAGTTCAATCTATGTTGGGGCGGCAGGGCAGCCTAGTGGTTAAAGCGTTCGCTCGTCACGCCGAAGACCCGGGTTCGAATCCCGACATGGGTACAATGTGTGAAGCCCATTTCTTGTGTCCCCCGTCGTGATATTGCTGGAATATAGCTTAAAGCGGCGTAAATCCATACTCACTCAATCTTTGTTATATGGTAGTTAAAAAGACACAACCCTACCTCGCCCTAGTGTATGGCTCATGGTGAGTGAGTTAAAAATTAACGTCGCATTGGCATTATTTCAGCCACAAAGCGACATATGGACCATGGTAAATATGCACACACCACCATATAACCATATAACCCTAGGCTATGTCACATGGTAATCATACAATTACATCACTTTTAGACGTTCAGATCCTTTTGCCTTTGTCACAATAACTAATATGTAGCTATGCACTGACCTGGTCACGTAATTTATCAATCTCCATCTCCATACGAAACTGTTTCTTGTCCGCTTGTTCCAGAAGTTCAGTGAGATGTCTGTTATCTTCCTCTGCCTTGCTCCTCTTGTCATCGAGCATGTCCAGTTCGTCGTGCAGCCTTACCGACACTTCCTTTGCCATCTGCAGCTCGTCTTCCACCTTCCGCACATGTGCCCGTGTGTCCTCAGACTCGCATTGGTTTTGTAGTAGTCTCATCCTTTCCTCATAGAGAGTTTTATCGGCCTCTACCTGCTCAATACGGCGTTCTGACTTTCGGAGTTTGAACTGCAAAATGCGACAGTTTTTTGCTGTGATTTCTAGCTCTTTTTGCATGTCCCTGAATTCATCCACTTCATTCTCCCTGAAAGTATCATACATTTCCTCCATCTCGTCGCGTATCTCCCTGATCTCACATTTCAGTTTAGCATTCTCCTCCTCGACCTCGCCTACATCTTTCTCAGAGTCACGAAACTTCTGGCTGAGAGCAACTAATTCCATGGAACTACCATGACAGGCTTTTTTTAGTCCTTCTTCTTTCTCTTTAAGTCCGGCCATGAGGCCGATATTATCGCCCTCCAACTTAACACACCGATCTTCCATGGACGACAGCTGTCGCCTCAAGTCTCCTAGCAGCTTTTCCATGTCCTCCTTCTTGTCATGAACAGAAACCTGCTTAAGAGATCTATTTTCCTCTTCTAACTTTTTGCACTTCTCCTCCATCTTAGCTAATTTAGCCTTTAATCCTGCTAAGTTCTCTTCCTGCTTACGGATTTCATTCTCTTTAACCTTTATATCATTTTCTTTAGCTTTCAACTCGTTTAGCTCTTTTTCCTTGATTTTAAGATTCTGAATTTCATGTTCCTTGTCTCTTATTTCTTGTTCTTTACATTTTACCTTATCTTGTCCTTTCTCTTTTGCCAAAAGATCCTTAAACTCTTTTTCTTTTGCTTTTAGCTCACGTTCTTTTGCCCTCACTTCCTTAAGTTCATGCTCGCGTGCTTTCAGTTCCTTGAATTCTTTCTCTTTGGCTACAAGTTCTTTTTCTTTTGCCTTTAACTCAAGAAATTCTTGTTCTTTTGCCTTTAGTTGCTGCAACTCCCGTTCCACTCCCTTGTCTCTCTCGCCGTGCCCCTCATCAAGTTTTCCTGCTACTTTGGCTCTTGATTCGGATTTTCCTACCTTGATATCCGCCACACCTCCTCGGAGACTGATCGTAATCGAAGGTGACTTTCTACCGGAGCCCGAACTGCCATCATCCGATCTGCCAGTTGCGACGACTTTGACTGTTTTACTGCTACTTGCAGACGCGTGCACTGTTTTCGACGTACTGGTAGAGACTGATTCCTTCTCCTTGCCAATCACGAGTGTCTTAGCAGTAACATGACTCCCTTCACTAGCTTGACATTTGGCTGTGACGTCAGACTCAGTCCGGGTTGCATGTTTGTCGAGGTCGGAAAGCTCTTTCTTCTCTTCATGTGCGTCAGCCGGCTCATCTCCAGAGCCGAATGATCGAAGTAGATGTTTCACCTTGTTCACCCCTCCCGCATTGGCAAACCGACTACTGCTGCCTGCAGACTTATTGTTGTCCGACTTGGAAACCTGAGCCGGTTCACTAGGCTGTGGCGCTTTCGCGACACCAGTTTTCGTTTCTCCAGATTTATTCCCAAGTTTTGGCACTGGCGAATCCTTCACTGAGGAATTACTTTCTTTCGAACCAAATGTCTTCAATTTAATATCCGTGCCATTTTGCTTTTTGTCAGTTCCTGTAACTTTTCCTGCTATTTTCACATCTGTCGTCTGCTTGCCCACCGAACCAAGTACACGTTTCGTTGCCTCACTGGTGGATTTAGATGATACACTCGTTAACTTCCCTGCTGCTTTTCCGGTATCAGTTTTACCATTATCTGTACTTTTACTCAAAGCAGATCCAAATTTAGACGATAGTGTAACCGTTGTAGTTTTGGTTGATGACTTTGGGCTAGTTTTAGAAATGGAAGCGGAGGCAAGTTTACTATCTTTACCTGTTTTCAGCGTGGCTTGTTTTTCTTTACCCGTTTCTAGTGTCTTGGCACCTGTGTTTTTTTTCTCTTTTTTATCCGGCTCATCTTTCTGAGTCACCGCCGGTGTTCCATCAACTTCTTCCGTATGTTCCTCGAGGCCATGAAAACAGTTCTTACATAGGGACTTGCGCCATGTCTGGGGTTCAAACTGTACACAAACTGCGCACACCACCTCTTCCATTGCAGGGGAACGAAGCAGTCAGAATCGAAAAATACGTATCCCAAACTACAACAGTCAGGTTTAAAATATTCTAAGATGGCGGTGAGAATATCTTCTATTTCTTCGTTCCCTTACCTCCGCAGTTCACTAGTCGGATGCTGTGCACCACGTCATCAGTTATGGGGAACATGTTTTCCATATACGGCTCAAGCTTGTTGGCACCGTCTGTGCGATTGCTGTTCTACAGTTGTAACTCATGAAAGTTGATCGCCCTCACAGGGCGAAAGTTGATTACCTCACAGCCTTCTCCCAGGAACCTTTTCGTCAGGTCAGCTCAGCGCACTGACCCTTGCCTCTGCACACAGCCTGACATGCGTTACGCTTCTGAGACCGCCGCTGTTCGGTGCAAGTCGCTCGCTGTTGGGTCTGTGACCGGCTCCTCCCCCAGTTGTAGGCTTAATGTCAGATTATGGCCAGCCAGTAGCCTTCACCCCCCACCCCCCTTCACACACACACACACACACACATGTCCCTGTGATAAAAGCTACCATTTCCGGAATGCTATGCAATCTGCCAACCGTTTAATCATGATTGAGGAAGATACGGCAACTTCAGTACAAAACTTGCCGCAATGAAAGGTCATATAAAAAAGGTCTCAATTCTATGTTAACAGTAACGCAAGTGGTAGTTGTATACATCACGTATATGTGCGAACAGATAGAATCGTTTACAGCATTGTTGCGTAATCTATTGCGTGTCATGAGAAATCAAAAGGCCAAGATCAGCGAGAATGCGTAAGTAGAGCTCCCGCATACGCTTTAGTTGATGCAAGAATATTAATGATAAAACACATGTTTTAATGATGCGTAAGATATAATACTTTGTTGATATGGAATATTAGCCATGTTGTTTGAAGGGTTTTAAGATGGATTTATTAGACAGTTAATCCCTATTTTAAGGTATCAATAATTCATTTATTGATACCCCCGCTTTACTGCTTTAACGCGGGGGATGACGCAACTAAATACTATCTGAGTAAAACATATATATTTCCATATGGAGACCTTAAGGCAGTTTCAGTTTCCCAGTTATATTGAATTTCTGGATTTAGGAGAGATAATCGATGCAGATACGTGATAATGCAGATATACTGTCGGACTTTATATCGGAAGGTGAAATAAGAAAGGCCATATAAAAATTAAAACCGGTTAAAGCTCCAGGAATAAAGGTTTGTAAGAATGCTTGGCACTTTGTTCCATCTATTGTTTAATTCCATTTTGGATACTGGAATGTTCCCCAATTCCTGGAATGTTGCCGAATTTTAAGAAAGAAGACAAGTCTAATCCTAATAAATCAATTATGTCATTTGGAAATCTATTATTGAAAGTAAACGTGGTTAGAAGCAAATCATGTTTTAGACATGACCATCCGACTATTGATATCTATGTTTTATCTTTATCACTAACATATTTTCGAATATGAAAGCATCGGTTTTTTATGATGCATATATTGACTGTTGGTTCCGTTGATAGTACAAAAATACAGAAAGAGATGCATAGAAACATGTTTAAAGTGTTAAAGAATACGTGTGAAAATATGCATGGGAATGTTAGAACTGACGCATTTCAGACCTCCATCGGAGTCCGACAGGGTTGTATGTGAAGCCAACTGTTATTCATATTTGTTATAAAACAGCTTGCTACAAATTTAGATAAAAGTGCAACAAATGCAGGAAGCCATAACTTCAATATTGAAAAAGGAATGGGGTGGGAAAATGTTCTAAGAGAAGAAAAACTGTGTAATTATTGCTTTTATACATTAAACATAAGCAACGTAAAAAATGAAAAACAGGTTTGCCTACTTGTCTGTTTAACAGCAACAACAAGAATACAAATCTTCGAGGAGTCAAAGATCACCTATGTTTAAATACTATTCTTTATATGTGTAACAGTGAAGTTAAAGCTTGAAAAAACGGGGCATGTCTATATTTTAGATTAATGTTAAGGGAAGATTAGATAGAAAGATATTAGCAGTAATTGAGCACAAGTGCTTTGTATCCTTAACGTATATACAAACAAATTGTGGATGTTGGTACTGTTTTTTGTACTCATACCCGTACGTGTCAGAGGTGTTTTGGACTGTGTGTATTGATAAATATGTATAATATTATTTATTTGGACATAGTTGGGACCAATACGTGAATTGTTACGTAATTACACAATGCATTTTGTGAACTATTGGCTGGAGGGCCTACGTTCTGAATAAACGTTGATTGATTATTAAACAACTTGCTACAAACTTAGATAAAAATGCAACAAAATTTACTTTTGTTTAATGAGTTTCCAATCTCATTAAAATCAGATCTTAATTCTCGCGATCGCTAAACAAAGATCCGAGTACATCCCATTACGGGTCACGTCAGAACGACGACGTTTCATACGACCAATCAAAGCGTCGCTTACCAAATCATGAAATTGACAGTCGTAATGTGTTTTCTAATCATGCAACCTCGAAAAAGTTAACACGGGGTATTCCGAACGACAGTTACGGCCAATACGACTGATTCCGTCAAAATTATCGTCTATCTCTCGCTTCCCTGGGATAAAAATTTGAACGGAGGAGGCGTTGCACAGTACGTGGGAAGTATTGCCATACAATCCCAACCATATTTTAGATATTCCGGAATGTTAGTTTGTTCAGTTTTCAAAATTTTAATCGAGAACTGTGTCAACATATTTTTCAAGCGTAGTCTGAAATGGATGTCGCCAGGTTGAAACGAGTGCCCTTAAACTCGAGAAAGCTGCTTTCTAATTGGCTGATGTCGACTTCTTGTTGGCTGGTGGTCGGTCAAACTTCGCGAAATGTTGTTTTGACGTGACCCGTAATGGAATGTCCTCAGATCTTTGTTCAGCGTCAGCGAGAACTTATGATTTTAATGAGATTGATGAGTTTCTTGAGGAAATCAAATTGTTGCTGTTCGCTGTTGATATTGTCTTAATAGCCGAGTCTGTAATTGAGTTGGGAAGAACATTAGATGAATTGGAATATCCTTTTTGTGATACTTGGTGTTTAGGAGTCAATATGGATAAATCAAATATGATTACAGTATATTCAGATATGGTGGTGTTATTAAAACGTTGAAAATGATATTATGATAAAATACAGAAATGAGAATACCCTTGAACATATATACTCGTGTACATACCTTTGCGACTAACGGGATCGGGTGGTCAGGGTCGCTGACTTGGTTGATGCATGTCATCGTATCCCAATTGCCTAGATGCTAATGAAAGTCCAGACTCGATTATTTACCAGCTGGCATATTGATGAGTGCGGCGTTAACCAACAAACAAAACAAACATACCTTTGATCATATATATATATATATACTGTACTCTTGTACACAGCGGCGTAGACATATACTCTTGCGCATATACACCATTTTACATGTATACAATTGTTCATACCGTGTACATATAAACTGTTTTAAGGTGAAGTTACGATATACGGCTTTTCCATTATTCTTTATTCTTGAAATGATGTAACTACTGACGGACTACATGCGCATTCCTTGGGAAATCCCTGTGAATTTCCAATCAGGAATAAATACAGATGCGTTAATTCTGATCATTTCGACCGTTTAATCTTGAACTTAGCGTTTTAGCATACATTTGGATAAGTGATAGAGTTTGACTGAAGGCTCGTTAAAGAATATCCTCGCTACTACCCATCCTAGTAAACAAAACGAAGAAATGCACAATCAAACCATTGACTCGATCCTGTCCTAGACTGACAAAAGAAAGTCTACAGCTATCTATAAATGTACCTTATATTACACAGCTTTATAATCACTTTTCAGTGATTGGCCAAGTCACCAATGATGAATCACACTAATCGCCACAGTTTCTTGAAACAACTTCAGAAATCTCTCCCCTCACGTTTATTGTGTCGGCTATTTTGACGTCCTGTATTTGATGTAAATATATTTGATGTAAGTCATTGTGACTGACTTGCTGACGTGGTTCTCAAGATACCGTTTTCATCTAATGATGATAGTATTTGGATCAGTTTGTTATAACCAAACTACAAAAGAGTAAATTGAGCATACATAGGCTCATATGACCTCTCCTTCTGATGAACTATTTTATTCAGCAATTCAGTTGGTTGTTGTACGACTGCCAGTGTAAACATTGAGCCACACGTACTAATTAATGTCCTAGAGACTCAGCAATATACTGTGATATTCCCCAATGCCAAAGAGACTTAGCAATGTATTGTGATATTCCACAATACCCCAGAGACTTAGCAATATACTGTGATATTCCACAATTCTCGAGAGACTTAGCAATATACTGTCATATTCCACAATGTCCAAGAGACTTAGCAATATACTGTCATATTCCACAATGCTCAAGAGACTTAACAATATACTGTCATATTCCACAATTCTCCAGAGATTATACAATATACTCTGATATTCCACAATTCTCCAGAGACTTAGCAATATACTGTGGTATTCCTCAATGGCACAGATAGTTAACAATATACTGTGATATTCCACAATGTCCCAGAGACAGCGAAATACTGTGATATTCCACAGTGCCCGAGAGACTTAGCAATATACTGTGACATTCCACAGTGCCCTAGAGACTCAGCAATATACTGTGATATTCAACAATTCCCCAAAGATTCAGCAATATACTGTGATATTCCACTATTCTCCAGAGATTTAGCAATATACTGTGATATTCTACAATGTCCCAGAGACTTAGCAAAATACTGTGATATTCCCCAGGACCCAAGAGACTTACCAATATACTGTCATATTCCTCAATTCTCCAGAGACTTAGCAATATACTATGATATTGCACAATGCCACAGAGACTCAGCAATATACTGTGATATTCCACAATGTCCCAGAGACTTAGCAATATACTGTCATATTCCACAATTCTCCAGAGACTTAGCAATATACTGTCATATTCCACAATGCTCCAGAGACTTAGCAATATACTGTCATATTCCACAATTCTCCAGAGATTTAGCAATATACTGTGATATTCCACAGTGCCCTAGAGACTTAGCAATATACTGTGATATTCCACAATGCCCCAAAGACTCAGCAATATACTGTGATATTCCACAATTCTCCAGGGATTTAGCAATATACTGTGATATTCCACAATGCCCCAGAGACTTAGCAAAATACTGTGATATTCCCGAATGCCCAAGAGACTTAGCAATATACTGTCATATTCCTCAATTCTCCAGAGACTTAGCAATATACTTTGATATTCAACAATGCCCCAAAGACTCAGCAATATACTGTGATATTCCACAATGACCCAGAGACTTAGCAATATACTGTCATATTCCACAATGCTCCAGAGATTTAGCAATATACTGTGATATTCCACAATGTCCCAGAGATTTAGCAA